GTGTGCACCACATGGTGTCTTAAGCAGTTGGCAGTCTTGTAGCAAGGGGCTGGGGGCTTAGTTAGGGTTACTATAACCCCAGCACTTGGGAGGCAGAGGCAGGTAGATCTCTGAGTTTGAGGCCAGCCTGGTCTACAAAACTACACGGAGAAACCCTGTCTCAGAAAAAAAAAAAAAAACTTGAGAAAAGGGTTTTACTCTTCCAGTGGTTCTCAACCTTCCTAATACTGAGAGCCTTTAGTACAGTTCCTCATGTTGTGGTGAACCCAACCATAAAATTATTTTCATTTCTACTTTGTAACTAATTTTGTTACTGCTGTAAATCATAATGTGAATATCTGTGTTTTCAGATGGTCTAAGGCAGTCCCTGTGAAAGGGTCATTTAATGTCCCAAGGGGTCATGACCCACGGGTTGAGAACCAATGATAGGACAGTTTATCAAAAGCAACGAGGGTAGAAATTCAGGCACGCCAGGAACCTGGAGGCAGGAGCTGATGCAGATGTCATGGGGGAGTGCTGCTTGCTCTCTTGTTCATCATGCATGTTCAGCCTGCTTTCTTACAGAACCCAGGACCAGCCCAGGGATGGTATGCCCAAAATGCCCTGAGTCCTCCCCCATCAGTTACTAAGAAAATGCCTTATCTTATGGTTAATAAATGCTTGATCTTATGGAGACATTCATCGTCTCAGTCGAGGCTTCCTCCTCCCAGATAACTTTAGCTTGTGTCAAGTTGACATAAATCCAGCCAGCACAGGGGGTCATCTTCCCCTGCACACAGATCAGGAAGGTGAGGCTCAGAAAAGGTCAAGTGAATTGCATGGAGGCTGACAAGGGTGCAAGTCACATCAGAGTGTCTCAGGGGCCTGGCCTAGTCAGGGAGGCAGAGTCATTGTAGAACTTGGCTGTGGAGGCCACTGGCAGTCAGAGAGTCTCATTCTCTGTGAGGAATGTTGAAAGAGTGCAGGGACACAAGACACAAGCAGCTGAATCCTGCCTGCTCTGCCCATCACTCTGATCCAAGGAAGACTTTTTTTAAGGGGGTGCTTCCTGTCTAGGCTGATACTGTGACAGCTGGGCTCAGAGCTCGCTGGTAAGTTGGACCAGGACTCTGGGTGGTCATTCTGGCCAGGGTTGCTTCTTCTCACGCCCCTGTTCTAGTTCTGGGCCTGAAGCCAAGGACCATGCCCTGGGACCTGGAATAGGCAGTCAGAGAAGCAAGGGACTTTATCTTGCTGTCAACTAGGCCACATGCTGGAGTGTGTAAGAGAAAGACAATCAGACCAGCAGCTGCTCACTGCTAACATCCTGGAAGCCAAAAGTGGGAGACATCATGTGCATGACCTTGGAACTCCTAGGAACCCCACAAATCAAATCTGACTCTTCTGAGGAAGGAGTATGAACAGTGTCAGGAGAGGGGACAGTGGCAGGCTGGGGCAATACAAAGGCCATTGTCACATCTGATACTTGAACCACTAGCATGGTCGCCTTGTCACTCATTCCACCGTGGCAAGCTCTGAAAATCAAGCTTGCTTACAATAGTTGTGTAGTCAGAGAAACAGCTGGAATGGAGGGGGGGGCAAGGTGTAGAGACCCAGAAGAGCTGGTGGTATGGCTTGTTTTGAAATCTGCTTGACTGTCATGATATCAGGTCATCTGTGGTTACCTGCAAGAGACCTTGTCAAGATCAGGCCTATCAGCATTCCCTTGAAGAAAGAGGCAGCATCATCAGAACCTAACCTATTATTCCAGGCACCACTCCCCATGTCTCTTCCCAACTTCCTGTGTTCTTGTACTAAGATGGAAGGTTGACGAGGGTGTCAGTGAGTTCCGGTGTTGGCATGAGACTTCTCTGTGACATTGCTGCCTTTGAGTCACCCTCTTCCTATAAGTAGCCCTCCACCTATGCTCCTGGTAGGAACCCTAATAAGTTTATTTGTTTACAAGTTGGGCTTGAACAGGATAGTCTGTTTGATCTGTTGATCCTACCTGCAGCAAACTGGTGTTTCTTTGCATCTCTCCCGGAAATGTGATAGCAACAGTTTTGGTTGAAAGATAACAGCCTGGAGGCCCAGGAAGAAACTAATACTTCCGTTCTAACACAAAGGTGGGAGAAGGTAGTGGATGTCCCTGCTCCAGTCACTGGGCAAGAGGCATGTCCTCACTCAGTCTGCCACACTCAAGGCTTCTACAGACTGGCCAAGACCCAGCTACCCACATTAAATAAGACAGGATTGCCTTATCTCTCGCAGAAATATCCTTGCAAATGACCAGGTAACGCTTGCTCATAAAATTACATAAAATTAACTGTCACAGACACATCATCCCATTTTGTTCTGAGAGCCAGCTGTCAAACATTTCCTAACACAGTGTATCAGATGTCATCAGCACACACCTGAATGCAAGATCAGCAGGAGGTGGCCCCACACCCCTAGGTCCAGGACAGCCCCTCTTGAAGGTCTGATCTACATCCCTGTAAGCTCCCCGGCACTCTACACTCAACCTGTCCTCAGTTTTGCTGAAACCCCTTTCTCCAGATGATTCTGCAGGGGTCTAGGAAGAGAGTGGACCAGTAAGGACTGAGCAACAGGTAAATGGAAGAGGAGGAACTCCCACAGCCGTGCTGGATACAGCCCCTTCAGAGTAAAAAATGACAGCAGGAGGCAGGCTTGCTTAGGCTTGGGAAGTTACTAAGCAGCTCACCGTGATGAGGACCAAAGATCCAAACTCCAAATGAAAGGGGCCCCAGGCACCCAAGGCATCCCATGCTGATGGTTGGGGTACTGAAGAGGACAGTCACTCAAGCACCTGAGTTTGAGGCCACCCCGAGCAACATAACAAGACTGTTTCAAAACAAACACAATTGTCTTGGGAATGAAGCTATAATTTAGTGGTAGTGCAACTTGGGGCGGAAAGTTGATTTCATTCCCACTTCTAGTTCAGCATCTAAAGCAGCCAGGACAGGAACTCAAGCAGGGCAGGGCCCTGGAGGCAGGTGCTGACGCAGAAGCCATGGAGGAGTGTTGCTTACTGGCTTACTCAACCTGATTTTTTTTTTTTAAAGAGAGGATCTCTCTTCAGCCCTAGGTGTCCTGGAACTCACTCTGTATACCAGACTGGCCTCAAACTCATAGAAATCCATCTGTCTCTACCACCCAAGCACTGTGATTAAAGGCATGTGCCACCACACCCGGATTCAGCCTGCTTTCTTATAGAACCCAGGACTACCAGGGGTGGCACCACCCACAGTGTAGTGGGCTCTCCTACATGGATCACTAATTAAGAAAACGCCTTCGCGATTGGCTACAGCCCAGCCTCCTCTGTGAAGGTGCTCCAGTCTGTACTTCAGTTTCTGTGTCACACAAGCAGCCATACAAGGCGTACATGTTCAGTCCCACCAAACAGCCCAGTTTGGTATTGCCAGTGCCCGCCTGCCCCGTGCACTAGCTCATCACCAGGATCTGGACTAGGACTGCCTTCATGTGATGCCCACTCATTATATCAGGGGTGGTCCACGCTGTGGGGTCTGATTGCATGGATTGAAAGGAGCAATTTCTCCCTGCTCAGGACTTCCCACAACCTGGCATAATTCCACATCCAAGTGATGGAAATTGCTGGGCAATTAGATACTAGAACCTGATGCAACTTGTGTAAGATTCATGTGTCTGACATTCATTCAACTAGAATTGATAGCTACTAAATGTTTATGTGTCACTGTCTATGAAGCTCTTTGTTCCACAAAAGAAATCATTTAGGAAAAGGTCAGCATTATAACTAACATGGAACTGCTTGGAGTTCACTGGGCAAAGCCAGGATCCAGCCTCATGGTCCTGTCCAGGTGGAAGGCACAAGAAGCCCCCCACCGGCTTCACACCCAAAGGAGCCTTTTACAGGTAGACATAGGTGCAACTATTGCCGGGGAGTAGAAGAGGGAGTGGTCCCCAACCTGACGTGCCCAAACCAGGGTGTGAACTGGATGATCCTCTGGGATGTCAGAAAAACTATCAGCGTTCATCTTGGCTCGTCCTTTCCTAGAAGTCAACCCCACCCCTGAGCTAAGGACCTGAGTACAAGTAATTTACCTGGAGGTAAAGAAAACCCACGAGGGAAATGGGGAGTAACGGTGGCCAGTAGTGAACGCTCTCAGCTGGCTTGCCCTGTGGGCAACTAGAGTCACTTACACCAGGAAAACAAAAGCCTGTGTAAAACACACCAGTTCCGCCTGAGCGCTGAGAAGCGGGGGATTTTGATATACTAGCTTGCACCCAGGAGGGGTGGTGTCCCTGGGACTTCTCGTAAAGCCTGCCCTGGCAGTTAGACAAGCCTGTAAGAGGTGGAAATCCTACGGCACACATGACTTTCATAACGCAAGCTCATCGGTTACCTCTGGGCAAAGTGTTCAAATGAACTCTTCACCTACAAAGGTAAGGATTTCAAAGCTGCCCGCCTTTTCTATGGAGACGGTGACTGCCAGTATTATATTAGCTGGCAAAAATATTTTTTAAAGTATACTCATTCTATACGGTAGTTGTTTTTTAACTTTTTAGAAAATATTTATTTTGTTTTATAGAGTTCCATGACCACATAAAAGCTGGATGATAAGATGTGTGACTCTAACCCCAATCAGCAGGGTGTGGGGAGGACTCCCTGGCTATTACAGAAGGCGTCTTCAATTTCCAGTTTGTGACGCTGTGTTTCCAGTCCATGGAAAGTTATTGGACAGGCTGATCTTATTTCCTGTTACCTTGCTAAATTAGCTGTCAGGCCAGTTGGAGGAGTCAGTGGGTCAGTCTTTACATAGAGGATTTTGCCATTTCTGTGAATAGAGACAGGTTCTCTTCTCCTACAACAGCCACTTTGACAAAAGTGAGGAAGCAACTGTTGAGACAAAACCCACTCTGAAGAGTGTCTAATATGCTTTATTATGTGAGTTCTGTGGCTGAGTCCATCGGGTCCCCTTCTCTGGGGACAGCCCCACCCCCACCCCCACGCTCAACTCTCATTGACGTAAACAGTGAGGTTAGTATCTCAGGATATCGTCACTCCCCCGCAGCCCCGCCTCTGACTATACCTGTGTGACCACGGTGCTGACTCTGGGGTACAGAGGCTCTTTCAATTGCTGGACACTACTGGAAGTCAGCAGTCTCCTCCTTGCATGAGGCCCTGTTGAGTTTCCAGAAGCATCCTAACATGGAGATGGGATGTTCCTGCAGGAGCCTAGACTGCTGCATAGCAAACGCTCCCCCCCCAACTTCCTCTTCCTCAATAACGAGTCAGGTACCCAGGCTCTGGCTTTACATCGGAAGGGTTCCCAGGGCGGCACCCACATCCCCCCCCTTCCATCCGCCTGCTGTCTGGCTCCCAAATTCATGTCACCAACTGACTGGAATGCTCAGGACAATGGATCTCTTGTAACAAAAGATACCTGCCCCCCCCACTGTCCCAGCAGACATTGTGACTTTTGGCCACAGGCCTGCAGCAAAGGTGACCCTCCTAGTCTCTCCCCTCTCCCAGGCATTCTCCAAGCCCCCTGCTTCCTTTGCCATCCTCCCTTCCCAAGATTTCTCTTCAGGCCTTGGGCCATCTGGTCACAGCGGGCTGTCCTTTTCCTCTGGCTTTAAGGAGTAGGATCTGAATTGTAGTCCACAGTCGGGGGGCACTTGCCCTTCGTAAAAGGTGTAATCCGTTCCCTGTAAAAAGGGAAAAAGAAAAACATGGGCATGATCTCTTACAAGGCAATGAGTTCTCCGTGCCTGGAGGGTGCCTATCAGCTGCACTTCACAGGGAATCCTACATGGGTGGAGAGACCAGGATTCACGACATCCTTTCCTTTCCAAGGGGAAAACACATGAAGGCTAAACTAGACTAGCCAGAACCAGTGAGGTACAGCTTCATCGAGAGCCCCTGCCTCAATAAATAAAGCAGAGTGATGACGGAAAACTCTAGATGTGAACTTGAGGCTTCTACACACATGCAAGCACACGGCATGGACATTCACACATACATGTGCATGCACACACACACACACACACACACTTGAACACGCTTTATATACATGCAAAACAGACACAGGAAAAGAAGAGAGCAAGTTGGGTGTGATGGTACTTGGGATGCAGAGGTGGGAAGATGGGGAAATCAAGGCCAAGCTCAGTTACACAGTGATCTTGAGGCCAGTCTGAGGTACGTGAGACCCTATCTAAAAATTAAATAAAAGGGGAAAAATCAGCCACTTATGTATAATGGCTCATGCCTGGAATCTCAGTACCTGGGAAGCTGAAGTAAGGGGATCACCATCAGTTTGAGGCCAGCCTGGGCTACATAGTGAGTTTCAGGACAGCTTGGGCTACAGAGTGAGTCCTCTCAAAATCAAACAAATGAACAAAACCACAGCACCTGAAAGATAATGTGGCCCTGCCCTGAGAGGGAAACTGGGGGCTAGAGAGAGGAGGGCAGGCTAGCATGAGGTCACCTAAGGCCAGAGTCAGGGCCAGGGACCACACTCCTGAGATTCCAACCTCAGTCCCATGCTCCTTGCACCGTTTAGACACTGAGCCAGGAGTCGAACACCCTGCCCTGCTCAGGACAAGATCTCCATCCTGCAGGCCACTTGGAAACGGCTTCCTTATAGGATCCTCCAGCTTCTGTGACAACAGCAGCTAACAGCCATCGTTCCATGCCTCACACTCGCGTTACTGCCTGTTTTCCCACTAAACAGGGGGGTCTCCATGGAGACAGGGCTCCATTGTTCCATGCCTCACACTCACATTACTGCCTGTTTTCCCCACTAAACAAACAGGTGGGGTCTCCATGGAGACAGGGCTCCATTGTTACAAGCTTTTGCTCCTAACCCTCAATCAGGACCTGGAGTTGAGTGGATATGCCACAGATATTAGTCAAAGGATGAAGGAGGGAGGGAGGGCTCACCAGAGGAAAGGGACCTCTCCTGCCACCTAGTGGGTCTCCTGCCACTCGCTGGGTCTGTGTCTTCTGTCTCTGCACTCCTCCCCATAGCCTCATCTCATCTAGACTTTGAGACAGAGTCCTTGTCTCTGTCCCTCCCCTCTCCATCTATCCACTTATTTTACACGCCATAGAGGAGCTTCTAAAACACAAGCCTAACTTCCCATTAAAACCCTTCCGAGCACCTGGGAGGAAATATTTACTTGTATCTGTAAATGCAATGTCTAAGAAAGGACTTGTGCCAATATTATTTAAAGAATTCTCAAACTGTGGGAGCTGGAGAGATGGCTCAGAGCTGAGTGCAGAGAACCCGCATCCAGTTGCCGGCACTCATACGGCTCACAACCGCCAATAACTCTGCTCCCCAGTGATCTGACGCTTCCAGTCCCTGTGGACACTGAACTCCAGGGCATAGCTGCACTCAGGTGCACGCACCAGGCACAGGCACAGGCACAGGCACATAGGTAAAAGTTAAAAACAAAGACAGAGAATTCTCCAAACATAATATAAGAGTGTAAGCAACCTGCTCTTTAAAATGAATAAAAAGCTTTGAAAATACTTCAGCAAGAAGTGATAATATCCAATATCTGGTCATGGAGAGATGCAAATTCAAACCATGGTGAAACAATTAGAACGACAAAAATTCAAATGCGACATTAACACTGATGTGGTGGGGCTGGGCAGTATGTATAGCTCGGGGGTAGAGTGCTTGTCTAACATATACAAGACACGGGGTTCGATCCTCAGCACCACCAAACAAAATACAGAAACAAAACCGGGGTGTGAAGCAAGTAACCCCTCACACACTGATGGTGAAATACAAACAGTACTGAAAGGTTCAGGCATTGCGCTGGCCTGCCCTGGCAAGATGCACTCAGGCAGCACTCTGGCCAGCCCAGAGTGCTGTGAGAGCCACGCAGGTGCAAAGGACCCCTTTAAAGGACTGACCCCTGCCCGCTTACACTCTCTTTTACTCTCGTCTTCCTCTCCATCTCATCTCCTCTCTTACTCCCATCTCCCTCCCTCCCTCCCTCCCTCCCTCCCTCCCTCCCTCCCTCCCTCCCTCTCTCTCTCTCTCTCTCTCTCTCTCTCTCTCTCTCTCTCATCTTATCTCTCTCTCAACTCTGCACAGGTCGGTTACCTGTCACCCCCCTTTCCCTCCCTGTCTACCAATAAACTCCACGTGGGATCTGTGAGTCACGGTCTGTGTCTTGTTACTGGATAAACCTAAACATTTTAACAACAAGTACTGCATCTGCAAATACTGGGTTTCTTATTACGTGAGCTTACCAAATGACTTAAAAAATCCTATTCTGGACTAGTTACAAGAAAAGACATGAAAACCTTACTGTACAGAGAGCCGTATAAGCTCTTTAAGGCTGCCTTCATAAAGGTTGAGATGTGAACAAAAGGCTGCCTCTCCACACACTGGATTCATTCGGCATCAAAGGAATGATCCTGCCTCTGCAACATGGGTGACCCCAAAAGCACTGTGCAAAGCGAACGGGAAAAGATGCGTCTGTGCGGTTGATTCGGTCTGGGCATGACAAGCACATGGGCACTGCAGAGGCAGCATGAAGGACTTCCTTGCTTGTGGTTTCCCAACTATGTGCATCCGTCAAACTCAGAAACCGGGAGCTGAGGAGACGGCTCGGTGAGTGAAGTGCCTTGCCAGGCATACGGGATGACTTGGGTTTGATCGCCAGCACCCACATAAGAAGGTAGGCACGTAGTGTGCACTTGTAATCCCAGCATGCCCATGTAATCTCAACACTGCAGAGGTGGAGACAAACCGATCTCTGGGGCTTGCTGGCCAGTCAGCCTAGCCTAGTGGGTGAGCTCCAGACCAACGACAGATCCTGTCCCCCAAATAAGGTGGACAGTGTCCCTGAGAAATGACACCTGAGGTGGTCCTTCAGCTTCCACATGCACAAATACATCTTTTAAATTAGGGACTAGAGGATGGCTTAGTGGTTGACCTAGTTAGGGTGTCTATTGCTGTGAAGACACTATGACCCCGGCAACTCTTATAAAGGAAAACATTTAACTGGGGCTGGCTTACAGTTCAGAGGGTTAGTGCATTATTGTCATGGTGGGAAGCATGGTGGCAGGCAGGCAGACACGGTGCTGGAGAAGGAGCTGAGAGTTCTACAGTTTTGTCAGGTATTTTCTTACAGCAATGAGAAAATTAACTATATAAACACATATACATTTCAAAACTCTGTATATACTGTAAACGTGCTCCAAGAATTAAGAATAAGTATTACCATGAATAATGAGCACTTTTGGTTCCAATTTGAGATTTTTAGGTAAAGAATGTGCACTTTTAACTAAAATTCTGAAAGAATAGCGCATCTTCAGTGTTTTGGCAGAAGTGTATTAGTGCTGCCATTTCCTTTTAAATTTATCAAAAATAAAAGAGATAAAGAGGGACTGAAGAGAAGGCTCAGTGGTTAAAAACATGTACTGTTCTTACAGAGGATTTGGGGTTAGCCCCCGGCCCCCACATCCAGTGGCTCATAGCCTCTTCTAACTCCAGCCCCAGAAGATCTCAGGCCTTCTTCTGGCCACTCCAAGTACTGCACCTATGTGCACATATCCACATACAAATACACAAACATGCATAATTTAAAGTCTTTATATTTTAAAGGTGTCTAATAGACAGAGTGACAGATAGAAGATATGCCATTAAGCAATAAAACATTAGTAGTCTGATAATTTTGTGTAATAATTTTGCATGTAAAGGCGGATATAGGTACATGGATGCTGTGTCGTATGTCAAAGGCAACTTTGTGAAGTCAGTTGTCTAATTGCACCATGTAAGCACTAGGAATTGAACTCAGGTCATCAGGACTGGGCGCAGGTGCTCCCCACTAGCCCATAGTAACAAAATCTAAATGATGTGTGGGTATAGAGGTGTGCAGTATAAAATAAAATCATTTCAACTTTTCTACATGTTCAGTTTTTCATAATAAAGCATCATACACAAAATAAAAATAAAAGAAAGTGTAAATTTCTGCCAAATAAACCAGAAGCTCAAGTGTTCCTCTCCTGGTGTTATCAAGATGCTGGCCCATTTCATTAATGAATGTGTTGGCCCATTGCTTAACAAATGTTCATGAGTTCCTCCTCTGGGTATCAGCAAGACAAGGGAACAAAGACACTCTGTTTAGTTTCACTGGGGGCATGTGAGGAAGCCACGGTACCACGGGGACGCATGCGCCACCCTGGGATGTGCAAGAGGCTAAGAATAGACAGACACTGTCCAGAAAATCAGGGAAACTTTTGTATCCACACTGAGCAGTGGCTGTTAAATAGGCGTTTCCCAGATAAACACTAGAACAGCCATGTACAGTCAATGGCCTTAGGATTAGGCCAGTAAGGGAGATACCAGGCTGGCATTGGTCCACATGGCCAGAGAGTGGGCCAGCTACAGTTTTTTTCTTTGTTTTATTTTTGCTTGTTTTTTGAGACAGTGTCTGACTATGCAGCCTTGTAGGGCCTGGAGCTTGATATATAGACAAGGCTGACCTCAAATTTAGAGATCTGCCTTCCCATTGCTGGGATTAAACATGTACACCACCATACCCAAGCAAAGTTTTAAAATCCTAGTTACAAGCGGATCTCTGGGCCAGGTGATGGTGGTGCACGCCTTTAATCCCAGCACTCGGGAGGCAGAGGCAGGCGGATCTCTGTGAGTTCGAGGCCGGGCTGGACCGACAGCCTCCAA